GTACACATTAAGCAAAATAAGTAAGCCCATCATCTTCTTTGCTTTTGAACTTAGCTCATCGACTTCTTCTTTGCAACTCTATACCTTTACAAGTCCCGTAAAGGTATAGAGTTATTCACTAATGAAAGAAAAACGATCTTATATCTTGGGCATTCCAAACCCATTGACAACTTCAAAAAGCACTTACTATTTGAAAAAATGGGGTCAACCAATCCCATTGACAGCTTCTAAAAGCACTTACTAGTTGAAAAAATGAAGCCTTGTCATCCCACTTAATTACTCAAAAAAAATACAAGGAAAAACAATTTCTTATCATTTTTTTTTTCTTTCAATATCGGAGTTAAGGGGACATTTCATTGACAAGCGGAGTTACAAGAAAAATCCATCACCGAAAGGAGGCGACCAAGGTGGGCCATTTTTCACTGTTGAATGAGTGGAGGAGAAAATTGGCCCTATTACCAAAATTTTATCCACTCAACTGACCATCTTCGATTTTCTGCAGGGAAAGTTTCTGAGCGTATATTAATCATCAAACATCCATCTTTAAGAAGGAATGCAGAGAAGGGGGACCTAACTAAAACCCAAAGTAGTGGGTGCGATATTTTTCAAGAAATATCACTTTTACATTTTAAAATCTATTTATTTATTTATTTATTATTCATGATCCCCATGGATCCCTCAAAGCTTCATGACCCACCAACATAATTCCCAACATAATTCCTTCATGAAATGAGTATTCTTTCTGATGAACTATTATGATTTCTTGCATATGAAGCGCATTCATCATGAAATCACAAGGCCCACAGTCATACATAAAGATTATTGTCGAGTGTGCATACTACGCTCCTGCAGGAGCAAACTGTATACCTACTCCCTTGGGCAAAAGGTTTATATGAGATGATTTTTTAATTTAAAATTTTAGGAACCATCAAGGAATCATTAGACCATTCTTTAGGGAAGAGAAAATTTGAATACTAAGTTTTCAACCACTTAAATCTCACCCTCAAAGATTTGATGGCATATGTTTAACTTGAGGTGTTATTTTTTCAGGTGCTTAGAGAATGCAATTTGTAAATCTTTTTCCTTGAGGTCAGTTTGCCGTTTGAAGAGGTTACATTCCCTAAAATTTGGGATCCTAAAATTACTCTTGATTGGGTTTTACTTGGGAATAAATGAACAATAATACTCACACAGGAAGATGAAATCTTTTGGCGTTACTCTTTGACTCTCATTTTTGGAAACGCCATTGTTGCTAATGTTTGAAAACGGTCCTTCCCATTGAAATAACGACATTATAACTCTACCGCCCCTTAGGAGAGATTGTCTATAAAGACACATTCTATCATTTGTATATAGAGGTCACAATCATAATTCTTGTATTTTTCATATTTATGATGTTTGGAAACAACCGTTACTACTAAAATAATGGTATCATAACTCTATCAACCCTTATGTCATGTAAAAGGGATTACCTATTACGATATCATTTATCTTTTGTACATAGAGGTCACAATCATAATTCTTATTTCATTCATCTATATGATGTTTGTAAACGGCCAATACTATTGAAATAACGGTATAATAACTCTACCGGCAAGGATTGTCTACAAATAGACCATTTATTTTTGTACACAGATGTCACAATCATTATTGTCTCTTAAATTTCAAAATGGGTGGTTGTAAGAGTGCCCTTGAATAGATATAAAGTTCCAAATAAAAATTTTTATTTGTAAAAGTTACTGACAAACATGAAAAGCAATAAAAGTTATAGATAATAGTAATTATAGTCATCCAAAAGACACGTTTGTTACGGATTGATACACATAATATAGAGCATGCCCTTTGATAATTAAGGAGAAGCTCATTGTGCGTTCCCAAACACATGTATTCAAATGTGGTCCCCTTCTACAAATTCATCTTAGAGATAGGTTTAGGGTATGAAACATATCCTAAATAGCTCTAGATGCATTTTCCGCTTTCGATCCATGGCTATGCATCTCAGAAAATTGCTATTACAATTTTGCAAGAATTAAAATGCATGCTCCAAGAATAAGTTTAAAATCAACATCTTTTTGAAGTTCAAACTGTAATTTTCATATTCACGATCCTGGTGGTCGATATCATCGATTTGTCTAATTTTAGACTTAAAATCTATCTTTAAGATCGGTTTTTCGAAGGAGAATGAATTCAACTGATTCGTGCCACCAAACCCAACTTTAATGTTTTCACCTTTTTGTTTTTTTTGGTTGACCATTGATTTCCCCAATATAACAGCCATTTGACAATTATTCTTAGTAGATGGAAGCAACCATTTAAAGAATGACTGAAATAAATAGCCTTCTTTATGAAAAAATTACCTTATTATACAAAAATAGTGTAGTGTCTAAATAGTTTCAGGTTATTCTCTTTGTTTTTTTTTCATTAACTTCTTTTATTTTCCATTTTTCATTATTTCTTCATTTTCTAGGTTGAATATTTACGAGCCATGCCCGTTTTATATAGTTTTACCCTCTTTCTACATTATTTTATATTGATTGTTGTGTTTTACATTTCTACTTCTTTCTAAGTCTCATAACCAATTAGAACCTTTTTCAAAGTATGCATTGAAAAATTATTTCTTGGGATTTTTAGGGAAAACAATCACAAAAGATGCTGTTTCTCAAGATTAAAATTTTGAGATTAGCCTCCACACCTGTTGCCACCTCCCTATCAAATTGATAAATGACCAGATTGCACGTTTTTGCATTTGATAATTCTCTTTTTTCTTCTCCTCACGTTTAGTTGCTCAAGTCTCTTTCCTTTCCTCTCTAAACATTTCAGCGCAAGATTGCCAGCACTTTCTCATACCTTGCATCTTTCTTCTCCCAATGCCCACCCCATCATCTTATTCTTCATGCCCATGATACTTGCTCTCATAATCTCTCTCTACGTAGGGGTGGCAATGTACTCGACTAGATCTAGGACCTGACAGATAGACCCGACTTCAGGGTCAGGTATGGGTGATCTAAAAGATCGGGTCCAGGTTCAAAACTTAGACCCGAATACTATTCGGTTCTAGATCTAGTTCTAGCCGGAACCGAACCGTTGCCACCCCTATCTTTGCCTTCTTTACGCCATCAATCTCACCTCAAATTATTCTCATCGCACATTTTCTTCTCAAGAAAACTGTATTGGGTTATTTTCCAATTTCTCAATTTAACAAAAAATCCATTTTTTTTACAAAAAATCCATTTTTCAGGCAACAATGGAGAAGAGGGGTTTCCATGATAAAGGTAATTGGTTTTGCTCATTTTACCCGTGATTCAAACATTGAAGCACAAAAGGTACAACTTTTCGAAAATAGTATTATATGATTTTTTTTCTTAACAAGCCCTAAAACACTATAAATGTCAAAATTCATTATCCAACTTGATACCTTTTAACTTACATATCCATAGTGGTTAATTCAATACGAAGTGCTCCCCATCTACCTTACTCTTGTGCTGTTTTCAGGTAAATAAAATGTTTCTTTTCAAATTTCAAATTGATATGCAAGTGTCTTGGGCTATGCAAACTTGTATATAATTTAGAACCATTGTATGTGTTTATTTATTTTTGCCATCTTTTATATGGTCATTTAAAGTTTTATCTAGATTTCAAAAAGTTTGACTGAAATAAATAGACTTCATGGCTTGCTTGGGTCCTTGAAAATAGATTTTCAGGATATTCTTCCCTGGAAACTCAAAATGGGGGAGAAATCTACCCATCTATCCTCATTCCAAATAATATGTAGAAAATTTATTTTCTTAATCTGCTCCATCCCAATCATCTTTCTATTTTGAATTTTCAATATATTTTTCCATGAAGCCGTACAACGCCTTAGTGCTATTGAATTAGCCAACCTTGATAATCTATAAAACTAGTACAAAGTAACTAAGCCATCTTTTAAATATGGTGAGGTTTTAAGAAGGTGCCCACCTCATACTATACAAGTAAGGCATACCACTAAATTTTTTGGAAGATGTAGTTCAGGTATAGGAAACCTTAAGATAGCTTGAAAAATCATGTTCAACTTTAATTATGAAATTTAAAAATTCAAAATGGTGTAGATCAAGAAAATATTTAAACACTTGAAAATCTTAAAAATTGACGGTCTAGATAACTTGTTGCAAAATGCACTATCTTTAAGACTTCAATTGTTTTTCTCTTTATATCTATACATCTTGAGGTTAAGATAATCAATTGAAAAGCTTTTCTAACTTTAGAACATTGTTTCTACTTTATAGTATAAGGTTGAAATCTTATACAAACTTTTTCCTTGAAATACTAAGTTCTAAAATAAACAAAATAAACACACCTTTAATACGCTTTTTTTACATAGAATACAAATGTAGTGATTGTTTTAGGGGTATGATAAAAGTCTTCATCAAGTGCTGTGTATAACAGGTGACCATCCTTTTATTCTTCTTTCTAAGCAATTCAGTTGTAGGAATTAAACTTAGAACATGGCGTTCCAATCATCAACTCACCACTCAAGCCGGGGTATGACTAATTTTTACTCTAATATCCAAGGTTTTGAGTAAATTTAATACCAAATAAAATTAAATTGATGATTACTAGATGTGAAATTTGACAGGTTATTTTTTTAGCCATAACACGTTCCGACTTGGGAATGTATGATACAGATTCGAGGCTTCGAAAATCCGATTTTTTGAACATTAGTTTTAGGAGCCGTTTGGATATCTGAAAATATATTGTTTGTGAAATATATTATAAGTATAATAAATTACTTATAAATAGATAGTTATTGTTTTAAATAATATTTAAATACAACATGAAAAATATATAGCTATTTATTGGCTACGTCTGGAAGAAAAAGAAAAAGGATGAATTTGGCGTTCAAAATTTTGACGGTGTCCTGACATTAAAAAAAAGTTAGGGGTATTTCCTTGCATCCCCTTTTTTTCCGTTATTTGTGTAACGTCGCCGTGACGGCACACCGTGTCACGATAAAACGTCCGAACCCCACTCTAAAACCTAAACACAAAAATCCACAAGATTTTAATTTTTCATTTTTTTTTATTTTCATGGATTTAACAGATTCATTAATTTTTAATAGTAGTGTTCGTGCTAGTGACGTTGATGGATCTGATAATTTTTCTTCTAATCTACTGGTTCAGATCTGAAGTGCTATAGTTCTAGAGATGTTTGATTTTTTGGGCATTTTCCCCTATTTTCAGTGGAAAAGTATAGGTATGTTTCTTTGATTCTCTTACGGTTTTATTATCTTTGAGCTTTATGTTTGCTATTATTTTTAATTTAGTGGAAAGTTGGATGTTTATTTGTGTGATGTCTGTACACTATCTAGACACTCTCATTTCTCCTTTTTTTCCTGGTGTTTTTCTTATTTTAGTTTGTTGGGTTTTGAGAATCAACGTTTTGGGTAGGAATTCATGTTCTGTTCTTTTTCGGGATCATGGCCTATCTTTTAAATTTAGTGAAAGTTGTGGCAGTATCGGCATTATTTCATTGTTATCAGCTAAATTTTGAGCAGTTTTTTGCAATGTGATTATGGAGAAGTGCTTCTGAAGTAGCTTACCATTGTAAACAAAGTTGAAGCTATACTTAACTTTTTTGCTCCTTTTATGTGATAGGAGATTATTCAGAGTAGTTAAGGTCTTCCTGTCATGGACAAAAAAATTCCATTCTAAACTGTAAATATAGATTACATTAACTTTGCTTGTTATGGTTTGTGTGAGGTTGAAAAGCCTAATGGACTGATACTCTGGAGTGGTGGATTGCCATGTTTAACCCATATAGAGCTGATATAGTTTGGACTGTTTGAATTGTGCAATGGGAAAGATCAAAAGATCAGCTGCTTATTGGTGCTAACATCGTCGCATTGGCTATAACATCTTTTATATAGCATTATGCAAGGGCAGTTGAATCATACAACATTCCTAGGATAGCTTAACCTACCTCGAAATCCACAGAATTGAACATAATTATACGCTTTTGTTCCTCACCAATGAAAGGTATCTGCATTCTTCTATTATATGGAAGGTATCTTCATAATTAAGACCTTTAGAGCAAGACTTTCTAGTCCATTAAAATTAATACCTTTAGACTCTGGGAAGAAGGAAAAGACGATTCATTTGTTTGCACCAAGTGCATGAGTATGACTAATATATCTTGATAATGAGGCCTCAAGAGTTATATACAAATAAAAGAAAAGCAAGTAACTAAAATGCTTGTAAGATTAGCGAAAAGGATAAATACATTTTAGAGTTCTGTCTCTGTATATCAATACTTTGTACAATGTAAAATATACCATTATTAAGAGACTCAAGGGCATGAATATTGCACCCTGCACCATCCTCATGTCATATGGTAAGATGGTCAAGTTAGGGTAGTCCACTTGGACTAAGTGGCAAGAAGTGCCTTCATAGACAAGTGGTTTGCATTTTTTCTGTTCTGGGCATGTGAGGAAGTGTGGGATCCCAGTGGCTAGTTGCTATTAACAAAATTCCCATCCACCTCAAGGTACTTCTGCTGTTCATCTGAATAAAACATGAAGTAACCCCAGTAGAGCTTGGATCACCATGACAAAGAGGTGCTAGAGGGAAACAAATTAGCATAGCCTGAATTCAGAGTGCGGAGGCAAGAATAATGCATCTTCCTAAGGGGTGCTTGCTTTATTGTTAAGTTTTCCTTACTGTGGCCTTATACAGGTTTTAAAGCTATATATGTATTTGGTTTGAACTCCAACACTGTATGCAATATCTTAGCAAGTAATTGTGAGGTTTATTAGACATCCAGTACGTTATTGTCTTACGTCCTCCAATTTATCGGTGATATCATGGTCATATTTTGAAAACCTGATTCCCTGGGGATTTTTGCTTCATTGCAATCTAAGCGTCCCAGCTTTCTATAACCACTCAGTCATATACTTATATTGCAATATGCGGTTTAAACTTCCTCTATTATGTGGAAGGTTCCAATCCTGTTCTAGTTTCATAATTTTCTATAATTCCAAAGGTTACGAGATGTCATCAGTGTAGGCTAAAAGCAAGTACTGGTGAATGAGAATGTGATATAGATGTGTGTTAATTTTCCATGGGAGCTCAATTTACCTTGAAATTGTGTCTTCCAACCCAGCTAACCTATCCAAATGGAATGTTATATGCTTTTACTTTTTTCTCTCCTTTGTTGTCTTTATTTCTGTATTACTATATTTTCATTTCATTATTGGTTTCCACCTAAGTATTTACTTGTTGACTTGTGGTTCATTATTTGCAGGGTCACAAATAAAGGCGTACGGGCTGTGCCTTTCACCAGCAATATGCATTTCTCGGTCAGATTCTGCGTACTACCTGATAATTTTATCTTGGGCAGCTGTTTTCGCTGAAGCTGAATTATCACATCATAAGTCAGGAGTAATTTTAGGTGCACCACTTGAGGCTCCTCCAAAGTACCATTCAGGAACCCCACATGTTGGATCCGATCTGCCTCTTCCTGCAAACATTCCCCATAATACCTTTCCACCATTCCATCGAAGACATAGGAGACATTTTAAGCCAGATATTTCATTCCCACCAGCTTTAGTTCCATCTCAACCACCAGGTTATGGTTCGTTAACTACTTCCTCTCATCCACCATCAACTTATTCGTATTTATCTAAACCATCGATGCGGAGCAATCCGCAGTCAGCCGCCCCTAGTTCAGGCTTGTTATCTCCCCCATCTGATGGCCTTGTTCCAAAGTCATCCAACTTTGGTTCTATTGCTTCTGGGTTGGCACCACCACCCCTATCTCCTCATGTATCTGGTAAGCCATAAATTCTCTCGAGTGGATTGCAAGTTTCTTCATTGCCAGTTCTTTCTGGTACTTCGTTGCCTGCTCTGTTTTTCATTGTCTGCTCTCTGTTGTCTATTTCTTGTTGTTTTCTCTGAGAGATCAGTGGATGCATTTTACTTGGTTTAGATGCTTAACATTTAACATATTTGACCAGAAATCTTGATGTAAATACTCTTCAAGTATGGATGATGAAATTTTTGGAAACTGTCATCTTGTCATATGCATGAAATGTTTTCTGGCATTCTTTTACAATCGGCTACTTTACTTTTTTGAACAGGTTGCTGTGGATCAGATATGATGCAGAGAAGGGACAATGAAACTTGTGATTGTGTATATCCAATACGGCTTGAGCTGCTTCTTTCAAATGTTTCACTGAATTCAAATTTGAGCTCAATCCAAGAAGATTTTGCTTCGCAACTTGGTCTGCAAGTATCTCAGTTTGAGCTCATCTATTTTTATATTGTTGGGCTAACTGGACTGAATATGTCCATGGATATTATTCCATTGACTGGGGTTAGTTTCTCTAGCAATGAGGCATACCGGATTAATTATACTCTTACTACTCATAGAGTTGAGCTTAATCATTCATTAGTTGGAGACTATGAGGTCCTCAATTTTACCTGGTTTAAGCCCCCAGCCCCTGCTCCTGGTAATACCCTTTTACCTTGTACTACTCTCTAGATATCTTATATGTGACATGTATATGTTGTACATTTATTTGTAAGTGAAATGTATGGTTGAAGTCATCTTAATGGGCCCACTCTCTCTAACACATGTTAGAGTTCTGATGCTGCAGAAACATGCATTGATGGATCCGGGACTTTTTTAATCTGAAAACTGATATTTTACTAAGATCCAACGACAAAAGACTCTTACATAAGTTATATTTGGGCTTGCAGATCTAGGGTTTGTCCTTTGTTAGATTGGCTCCAATACCACAGCAAGTTTGAAAAACTAATTGTTTCTCAGTAATGAGAATGAGACTTAAAATCCTTATGTGCAAGTATGGTTACATGTGCATATTAAATCTTAGAGAAATATGTGGCAATGATATAAGTAACCACGGGAGTCACTGTTAAGCCCCTGCTCCAGGTAATACATGTTTTCCTTGTACTCTTTAAATATCTTTTATGTGACTTGCATATGTTGTAAATTTATGGTGAGTGAAATGCATGGTTGTAGGCATCTTAATAGGCCCACTCTCTCTAACACATGTTAGAGTTCTGGTGCTGCAGAAACATGCATCGATGTATCTAGGACTTAGTTCATCTGAAAACTGAAATTTTGCTAAGATCCAATGACAGAAGACTCTTAGATAAGTTATATTTGGGCTTGCAGATAGGGTTTGCTCTGTGTTAGATTGGCTCCAATACCACTTTGTGTTTGAAAGACTAATTGCTTCTCAGTAATGAGAATGAGACTTAAAATCCCATGTCCAAGTTTGGTTACATTTGCATATTAATTCATAGGGCAGTATGTGGCAATGATAAGTAACAGCAGGAGTCACTGTTACATGCAGCAAATGCAAAGTACACAACAGAGACATACCTGAACACCTAAAGTGGTTAAGATCCATAGCAGCATCTCCTATTTTTTGAACAGATACCAACATCTCCTATTGTTCAAGAAGCTCATGCCATACTTATGGAAATGCACCATAAGGCTGATCAATTTGTTTGTGGCTATTGGATTCTGTTCAAATGTCTCACTTATATAAGATAAAATGAATTGTTTTACCTACAGAAAATACAGAAACCAAATGAAGCTTGCTTTGTTTTTCTCCCAAAAATTATGTTATCTCCATTGACAAGCCATGTGGTGGACAAATATGTCACCTCTGAATTTCAGTGGAATAGTTGGATGCCGATCAGAAAAAAAGGATGTAATAGTGAATCATGGAGACTTGTTAAGTGTTTGCGTTGCACTTAGGCCAGTCAAACAATCACATCATATAATTAGATTAGTCACACCATGCTTGCATTCCCCATGCATGCAAACATTGGGAGCATAGGACCTATTTTCAATATATGGTGAATGATTTCGTATTTTTCTCATAATCATGTTCATTGAAATGAAATCAGTTTGGTTTGGCACTATTGCCTTTGGTGAGCATCACTTACAATAACTTTTTTTTCCCCCTGGTAGTTCAATGGTAGGATTTGAACTAGGGATAGAGTGTTGCAGTTGTCATTGCCTTAACTAATCGAGCACAAGCTCAAATCCCATCGCTTACAATAGTTGTTCTGAATTCTCGGGTTATGGATCATAGATACTTCCATTGTCGTTTCTTCTGTATCTATGAGCTCCTCTATAATTTTGTTATTCAAAAAGAGTTCTTCATTAGTTTTGAAAGCAAAAAATGCTGTGGTTAATATTTGAATAAAGTCCTGTTAAGGTGCATTTATGTACACACTATTTTAAGAGGACCTTGAACTTGATTTTGTAAACTCTTTGTGCTTCCACTCATGCATGCATTAGGTGTTGAACCTCTTCATTTGGATTTTTGTGGTGCGTAGGTCCTAATGTTCTAGCTATTGTTGGATGAACATTATTAAATAAACAGAAAGTTAAGGTTGGTAGGTCCTTATTTTGCTGACAGAATTTGTGGTGCATCAGAGACTGCAGCCCCACCAGTTATGTCACCTCAAGCTGCTACTCCTATATCTGCTGGGGTCTCATATTCTTCTTCCAAAAGGGTGAAACATCCTAGTTTGGTTCTTCTTATTGGCATAGGATCTGGTATCCTAATAATTTTCATTGTATCTGTGGTAGTTATTTGTTCATGCACATCTGGTCAACGGAAGAAAGAAGCCCCGCCCATACAAACTGGTAAGGAATTCTGATGATAATTTTCTTACACATAATTTGTTGCTAGAAATTGTTTTTACCATCCACAATAAAAATTGTGTATTGGAAACCTTCTGACACCTGTATTTTGTTTTCTCCTTCACATCCTTATCAACTGCCAAAGACGAAAATTAGTTTTGTTGTCTACTTATAAGTTCCAATTGTTTAAAAGCAAGACATGCTGAATCCATGATGCACGACTATGTGAAATTGAAATAAAATGAATTTTGTATCTTGAAGCTTTTAGAGCTGTGTAATGTTATAGCATTGGTGTAAAGAAAGTCTGGGCATTGTGGAGGATTCTTCTTTTAAATGAATATCATTCTGAATCATTATTGTGTTATAGAGTTTTTGTTGTCATTACAAATTGATCTTCCTAAAGTGCTTCGATAGAAATATCAGCAATCTGATCCTTAAAGTGGAGCTAAGTGTCCTGGTCTCTCCCTTAAGCAATTTCTATAAGATAAAAGTAATAATCAGTTAATCAATTTCAAGGTTCTTGTCATGAGCATGATAGTCGGTGGCTTTGTTAGATGCAGCAAATGGCATGTCAAACATATCCAATTTGAACATCCCCTTAGCCCTCAATTAGGCATAACTATATTAGGAGTACAAATTATTTGTGCTTGAATGGTTGGAGCAGCAATGACCATGCTAATCCACCAGGGTCATCATCATCCAGTGACATGAGAGACAGTGATGGACAGATTTGTACCAACTTTGGGGTCATGTCCTATTCCCGTTGGTCTCACTCCCTTGCCATCACCTTCCATCCTTTCATTGACGCCTTCAATTGACTGAGTATCCACTGGGCACTAGGATACCTTCCTTCACTATGAAATATTATGCTTAAACTTAGCCTGTATTTATTAAATACACCTGTTTTCACTATGCCAAAGCATCCATTTGGTCCCACTTACTTTGACATGCCATTTGGGTGTTTGGTAATGCAGCAAAGCAAAAGACTGCCGATGCAGTTTCAAATGATGGGTCTCTTCCTCATCCGACTAGTACAAGGGTTTTTGCATATGAAGAGCTAAAAGAGGCAACAAATAATTTTGAACCTGCAAGCATGCTTGGGGAGGGTGGGTTTGGCCGGGTCTTCAAAGGTGTGTTGAGTGATGGCACAGCTGTTGCTATCAAGAAGCTCTCAAGTGGGGGCCATCAAGGGGATAAAGAATTCTTGGTTGAAGTTGAGATGCTCAGTAGGCTACACCATCGAAACCTTGTGAAACTTGTGGGTTACTATAGTAGTCGTGATTCTTCACAGCACCTGCTGTGCTATGAACTTGTCCCAAATGGAAGCTTGGAATCCTGGCTGCATGGTATCTCATTGACTTTATTAGTTTTTTGACTTGGCTGGCCCTCTTTAATGTTTTTGTTCATAAAATTGGAATTTTGTTTAAGGCAAAGTATACAATAATCCAATGGACCTTGGAGAGAAAAACCCCATCATTGGGGTCCTCTCTCTCCATTCAAATGGATATTGTTGACCATTAGAGGACATAAACCCCGTGGTGGATCCAACTTTATATTAGCACCCATCATCTCAATCCATAGTTCATTGGATTGAAATGATGGACAATAATGGAGAGGCAATGGGACCCACCAGAAAGGAGTTGACCCCAATGGTCAGTCCCCCTGTCCCCTTAGCCACTCGTCACTTGAATCGACAGTACTGACTCAGTGCACTATGGTTTAGGAGATGCCTTATAGCTTTTTATTTCTTTTGTCTTAAAGGAGATTTTAGTGTGTCACTTTATATTGCATGTTCTGGAGAGCATTTTTTTACTGTATATTTGGGTGATTTAGGTCCTGTCGGAGCGAATCGCCCTTTGGATTGGGATACTAGAATGAAAATTGCTCTTGATGCTGCCAGAGGGCTTGCATACCTTCATGAAGATTCCCAGCCTTGCGTGATCCACAGAGATTTCAAGGCATCTAATATTTTACTGGAGCATAATTTCCACGCAAAGGTTGCTGATTTTGGCTTAGCAAAGCAAGCTCCTGAGGGTCGGGGAAACTACTTATCCACTCGTGTCATGGGTACATTTGGGTATCTCCCCCCCCCCCCTCTCTCTCTCTCTCTCTC